CTTAAAAGTTCCAATGTTTATAATGCAAAAAAGGAAGGAAAACGAAACTCTTTTAATGTCATAATTAAGTTTTTTTTACGGATTTCTATATTCAGCGTTTGACTTTTTTTACTGGTGTAATTTTTGCATTCTAGAATTAGTGAAAATGATCATGGCTTGCAATTTTCTTTTTTTTTCTCTGCTTTTCATGATTAAATGTTCTGTAAACATGGCAAATCTTCATTAATTCTTTCTTATTAAATTTAATACTATCCAAGGCTTCAGTTTCTTTAAATGTTTACATTTCTGTAATCTTAATAATCTATCTCCAATTTTTTTATGTGTAAAAGCGAGTATTAGAGATTATTAAAAAAACTATTATTTAACCGTTAAAACTTACACATTTCTTTAAAATATTTTCATTGGAACACGCATTTGTTCCCCTTGGGTAAAGTTTTAAAAATAAATATGAAAAGCAAAAAAATCTTTAGTAAATGATTCCAAAATTAAGATTTCATTTTTGAAAAAATATTTTTGAGGATTGATTTTGCATAAGGATCAAACAAATGAGCAAATATAGCAAAATAAAAAGATCTTGATATCACGTGATGAAATATGTGTAGAAATTCTTCGAGTTTAGAAATGTATAGAATATTCGTTAGCGATGGAAAGAAAATTCAAAAATAAAAAAAAATCATGGAAACGTATTTACTTATTCTATAAGTAAACATTTGTTTGAAATGCCCTTTAATTGGCAACCCCTCATTTTTTTCCAAAAGAAAATGAAATATTTATCTTGTGTTCAGTATGATAACTGTGTGGTTTAGATTTATTGAATTCTGGTGGGAAAGGATTAAAATAATTCAATAAACCGGAAAATGACACTGGTTAGCAATATTTTGAAGAATTCGCCAAAAATTGGTGAAATATTTTACAAACCTGAAGCAAAATAGGTGACTTGAAAAAGGTCTTAGTTCTATGATGTTGCAAGAAATGTAATCTTATGACGAGTCATGGATAACACACGTTTCGACTTTTTGTTTGTGAACTACTTAGTAAAGTATACCAATAGTTGCTTCAACATCGCGAATTTTAAACTTTCTTAGGGAATTTTGAAAAATTTGTTTTCCGGGTGCCCACTGTCATTGCTCGTAGATTTACTGCAGTAAATGTCTTGCGTTATGTATCTTTTCATCATTGTCCTATGTGGTACTTCACCCTCCACATACACACGCACACACAAACGCACACGCATACACACACAAACTCATACACACGCAAGTGCATGCACACACAAACGCGCGCACGCACATTTCAGATCTCATCAGTATTCTATTTTTTTAAGAATGATTATATCAGTTCTAATAGAAAAGAAGTATTATCTTAACAAAACATATTTTTATCAGAAAAATATCGCATAATATTGATTCAAAATGTTTCTCATACGCTTTTATTAGAACATATACTTTTATCTCTAATTTAATCAAATATATATTTTTAAATTCTAAAAATTTAAAAATTAAGTAAATCTTTTTGTGTGTGTACAAGATTTTTGGATAACGGGAAATGCATTTCTTGCTTAATGATACAAATTGAATCATTTTGGCACATTCTTTAACCCAATTTATCGAGGAACTTTTCTACTACGTAAGATAAGCTTAACATATATTAAATGAATATTTTCTAATAATATGTGATGTAGAGAGAGAGAGAGATTTGACGTATTTTTAGAAAGTATTCATTTTCTAATAATAGTGGGAGAAAGATGTAGTGCATTGACTTCGCTACATCTCTCTTAGCATATCAAGAGAATTTTGTGCATGAAGAATGAACAAGGGAATGAAATTAGGAAGCATTTCTCTAATGCCTGAAGAAAAATGACATTAGAATATTTTCAGAATGTGTCGATTATTTTTAGCAATGCACACCACCGGCAAATGGATAATATGCGTTCTGATTAACCGGTTTCTAACAATGATTGTAATTTGTTCTTTCAAGACAAAAACAGAATATGGGCATATCAACACATGTATTATAAAAATTAGAAAACTTTTCATATCTCTGTTATTGCTACCGAAAACCACCGTCTAGATAGACTACATTCCTAACTCTGTCGAGGGTCAAAAGTCTTCCGTTGGCGTGATGTAGTCTCCAGCTTAGGTTTGATCTTTATCATTTGATTATGGTTAAAAATTATAAGGTCTATCACCACTTGCCCTTACTCTTTCTAACCCATTTTTTTAGGCACGTTATTTTGTTTTTAACCAGCCAGGACCCGTTCTCATGCTATTTAAATAGATCTATGTTTAAAACTGTCCCAAATTGTCTTGGTGGATGTACTTGGGACCCGGCTCTCTATGTGTTCCACTGTACTGTTGTGATATGGCCGCTCTTGGGTGACCATATCTTTGATTGTCAGCTTGAGTTAGAGGTGTGGGATTCTCAAAATGATCAGACATTTTAAATTCTTATTATGACTTTATTAAGAATATAACTTAAACCTCTAACAATTTAGATAAATTTATATAAGTGAGAATCTATGATGAACCAAACACACAGCGATAGTTAAACCGAATCGCATAATTTAGACTACTTTATCTAAATAATTATATTATCCGCCTTCTTTCAATTCTGATAATATTACAAGTCCTAATATCAAGTAATCAGTCCTACCTTAATCCAAACTAAGATCCAATCACTGTACTGAGACGTCTGGGCGCGCGTGCAATGGTATGCACCTTGTAGTAATGGCTAGATATCCTGGTAACTTTACGATAGGCTGTCAATTCACATTCGTATCTCTTCCAAACATAACTTTCTCTAAATTGCCATACTGCTTACTAAAACTTCTGTTCTTTTAAAAGCTATCTTATTTGCATTTCATATTCGCATTTCGCTTCTTGGATTTTTGTTGGAAAAGAGTTGCCATTAATCTTGGCCGTCAAAGAAGCCAGAAGTTATGTTAAAGAAAAGACGCGTGAGCCCGTCACACTGTCACAAAAAAATTATCACCTTAATGACTAAACCGATGGATCTCTTGAATTATGGTTTACTTATCAATGCGAGCATTCATACCAGGTTAATTTCTTGTTTTAAAATACCGTATTTACTCGAATCTTAGCCACACTTTTTTCCAGTGCTAATACAAATGAAAATTGAGCGCGACTTAAAATCGAAGGCAAAACATTTAATGGATGGAGAAAATTGAACTTCCACTCCTTTCAAAAGAAAAAAAAATGTGATCGTACATTCTAACCACTTGTATCTGTAGCAGGGAAATGACGAAGTTATGAATTTCATCAAATCCTTAAGGGATATGATCAATTGACGAAGAATGTCAAAATAACGTCTCTTCAAGGTCGTTTTCCTGATGAATGTAAGTGATTTTATCAAATCCCTGAACTGTTTCAGTGAAATGATGAACTAGTCAGGATTTGTATTGGCAAAATGCTTTACGGGGGGGGGGGGGGACAAACCTGGGGTCGAGTCCTTGCTCTTCCTAACCATACAGGTAGTACTATCGATCCCCATATCTTTAAAAAATGGCACCATAGGATTAACATAGGGATAGATTACCAGCCTAATTTTCTAATTATTTCTTAATTAGTTTTGAATAAATAATTTGTATTTCATTGACTTTTGTTGTATTACTTACTTCGATGTTTAATAATTCACCATATTTGTTAAATAAACACTTTTAAACTCTTGACAATATTATTTCATCATTTCACTGAAACAAATCAAATCCCTTACTTTTATCAGGAAAATGACCCTGAAGAGACGTTATTTTAACATCTACCGTCAAATGATCATCTCTCTTAGGGATTTGATGAGATTCCTAATTTCATTATTTTCCTGTGACATATCGATGACTTATCTCATCCCGGAGTTTATCTCCAGTATTCAGACTATCTTAAACGTTGTTGTTGGCTCGAATGTGGGACTTTTCTTTTGTAACGCTTTTTTTAATCATCTAACCATCAAAGATATCCGTAATATCACCAAGAGTTCATGAGGGAGACAAAAAGGGAGACAATTTTATATACATGCAGAAAAAAACGCAAACAGAGCAGTGACCACTTAAAATTTGACACGTATGAAACAAATACACGTCGATGGCGTAAGAAAAATCATACAATTTTTACTTCTAAGTGTTCAACAGTCTTTAATAATTATTTTACATTCTTATTTAACATACTCTTTTAAGAGAATACTGCATAACAAATGCATTGGATGGCACGGAAGACGACACTGTGTGGGAAAATGGTGAATCCAGCACCATTTTCGAAGTCAGCTGCAATAATGGGAGTGTTGAATCATTTTCGAAACATAATACTGACGTTTAGAGTAACTATAGGTTCATGTATATATGTGAAAGTTTTTAATATTGGTAAAATAAATTGATTATTCACTTCTTATTATTTCTAATTATATTTTTTAATTTCTGAAGTTTCGGATATTGATGAACTTTTTACACATTTTACTATTATTTTTTTCTTAAAACGTGTAGAGAATTGTGGATACGGCTTAGAACTGATATATAAAAACCTTTTTAAACAAAAAAAATTTGAGAATTTAGGTTGCGGCTTATAACTGATGGTGGTTTAGATTCGAGTAAATACGGTACATATCACAGACAAAATTAAATAGCATTTTTTGGCTGCTTTCATCCTTAATGTTAATTTTTTTTTAACAGTGCATTGAAGATTTTTATTGATGTATTTACAAGAAAGTTCAAATGTAATGTGTTTGTTTAATTTCTTCTTTAGTTTACACTTTTCCTATATATATATATATATTTATTTATATATATCTTGTTCAAATTTTCAATCATTAATAAAATACTTTCTATTCATGCATTCAAGTTAAAGTACAATTTTTTAAACTTGTAGTGGATGACACTTGATACTAATAAATTTTTTCAAGTATTAATTCATTAATTAAACCAAATTAATGAATAAATAGTATCAGACAAAAATAATAGTTCAACGCCAAATATAAAAGAGAAAAGGGCTCGTTGTGTCCCTGTAGCGCAATGGATAACGCTTTGGACTTCGAACCCAAATATTGTAGGTTCGAATCTTACCTGGGATGGCCTAATTTCTGCCTGACTGACTGAATATTAACGTCGCACTGTTTAGATACACGAGGGCTTTTGGCGACGGACCACGTAATTTTGAACCATGGTCAAGTGACGTGGACGACACCTGAGAAGGCACCCCCTCTCCTAACTACCACACCACACCAACGGGAGGACGTTTCAGCTCTCGACAGATTTAACGTGCATCGCTGCCCTACACGGCGGGTCATTAGTGGTACTGGGCTCGAACTCGTGACAAGGCAAGCCACGGTCCGATACCTATACCACTCGGCTACCGCGGTCGTTTTGCCTAATTTCTGAGAATGTGAATTATGAATGAATAAATAAAATGACAAACGCTTTCTATTTTTCCACTCAATGTTGTGATTCTGTCATACGCGCATATACATATATATATTAATTTCAATTATTTAATAAAAAGTAACTAAAATAACATTTTTTGTTGACCTAAGGTGGAATTTTCTTTTATATTACTTTTATATTATTTTTATACAATTTTTATTATATTATTATACTTTATATTATTTTTGGTTTTGTATGTTAGTTATGTAATTATGTATGATATTGTGAACTTACCTTTACTTTGTACTAAGGAAATTTACCGCGTATACCTCTGTAAAATAATGCAAACTAAGATTATGCACAATGAAGACTGAATACGAGAGTGGTTTTGTTTCCCAATGGAAACGGTTTGTGGCTTTTACTTTTTGAGTGAGTTTAGCTCCTGTGTGAATTCCACCAATAGCTCTCGTGTTACTTCCGAGCGACGTAAGTTAAAATCAAATTAAATACATATCACCGTTTTTTTAACACTATTAAAATAACCTACAATATTTTAGAAAAACTATTTACGATATGCATTATTATTAAAAAGTAATAGATTGTGGTAGTGCTACTTTCTCAGGTAAAATGTACAAGAAACAATGTGTAGTGTAATTGTATGATATATTTTCTCTCTGTTAATGTATTTTTATAGCATTAATAAATTAAAATGCTATGTACATTTTTAAGATTTTGAAATAGGAGGGCTTTGAGAAAATTAAAATAGTAACAGTAGTCGAGAATTGAATGAAAAATAAGTAAATAAAAGCAATTAACCTTAGATCTGTAATGTTCACAGATTTTTTTTTTTACAAAATAATTCGTACTTCTAAGTTCCCACTTTTCCATTTTTTTCGAATCTATGTTCATTCAAACATTTTATATGAAAGAAATCTCAAATATGAACATTAAAATGGAAATTTTATGTGCTAGTTTAACTTTATACGAATGTAAATTCTGAAATCAAAAGTGTATAACGAATCAGAATTAATATTAGAAAATATTTTATTTAAAACAAATAATTTTATTTACAAAATAAGTACAATGATACTTATATAGTTATCTTTATTTTGTACAACTGACCACACGCACACTATATTAAAATATGGTTAATTGTGTTATGATACTTTTTATATATAAGATAAAAACACGATTTATGTTAATATATAAAAAGCGGTAAATAATTTGAATTTAGGTCTCAGACGATTTTACATTCCAAAACAGAACACAATATTTATTTTTACACGCAAAGTGCAACATATGGATCGTCAATGAATAACCGATAACTGGTAACGAAACTTTGGAAGAGAAAACTAATTTATATTAATGAACATGAATAATGAACATAAGACAAACACATCAAATGTATTCGATTACTTTCCGAATAAGAAGTCTGTTGTAATTCGAATCGAAATCTGTGAATCCTAATACAAATTATAAACGCGAAAGTTTGTGAGGATGTTTGTTCGTCTTTCACGCAAAAACAACTGAATGGATTTTAATGAAACTTTACAATAATATAGCTTATAAATCAGAATAACACATAGACTATAATTTATACAGGTATTGTGTGAAGTTTTTAAAATATAATGACAATTATCAAGAAAGTAAGAAAAATTTCTGCCATTTGCAAAAAAGCCCGTGACAGCATTCATCTATCTTTTTTATCCCTTTTGTTTTGTTTACGCCATGCCTCAGTGTGCTCTCGCTTTTAATTTATTCTTCCGTTCATCAGTGTAATCACTATTTTTTTTTTATTTCGTAATAAAACAAGATTTCGAAGGGAGAGGTGGTGGCAAGATTTTAACATAAAATAAATACAACAAAAAGTAATATTAATGCATTACACTTCCTGGTATAAATTATTTACACTATTTTAAGCGTTCATTACACAAAATTTGTAACAATGACAGTGGAAGCAAAAATTATGAAATTAAAATAAATTATCAAAATGTTTTTATCAGTTAGTTTTTTTTTCTTTTTGAGTGTATTTTTTCAGTACATGTAAATATATATCCACACTTTTCCCCATACTGTTTTTTTTATAACTGATATATATATATATATAATATTTATCATAAATATTAGAAACTATTACATTATCATTTAATTTGTGACATGTATGTCAAGAAAATTTGCTTCATTGTTGTTATTATTTGTCTGTATTAAATTAAGATATTGTGGATAAAAATTAATGTTAGGTATAAAATTGGCTTTGCCAAAAATGATTATGTCATCTATATAACTATAAATATAATATTTAGAATTATTAATGTAACTACTTTCAAAATAATATAGTTATAAATTAGCAAGACAGTTGCTCGCAGGGCCTCCTTGTGGCAAACCTTTAATCTGCAGATAGTAGTTATCTTTATGATATATATAGTTCTCTTCAAGTACAAACCTAAGTAGTGAACTAAATCTATCACAATAAACATTATTAAATGAATTATCTTTATGTAAATTTACAAGTATATTAATCAAATCATCAATATTAATAGAGTTTAAAGATATCTTCAAAATCTAAACTATAGACTGAATAAATATTTTTACCTTTAGAGATCTTTTGACATATATATATATGTGTGTGTTTATTCAAGCATTAAAAAAAAGCAATCGTTTCAATAGTTATCTGAACATTTTTCTTTTATTTATTACTTATAGAAAATTGATTTTAATTATTATATATATATGTTTTTTAAAAGAATTATTTCTATTATTTCATTACTAAATGAATTATTTGTTAATTAAAAAGTACATCGTCTATTATTTTGGATAAAAATACATTTCAGAGACATTTTTAAGCTAACTATACATATCGATTGATTGATTCATTAAAATCTGAAATTTATTATATTATTTTAGTTTCTTAGATACTAACTATTATTTAAAAAAATGATGAAAGTTTTTTGTGTGTGTTTTACTGTTAGCATTAGAATCGTTTTATTTTTATTGCTTCACATTAATCATTTTTTATCTAATGCAATATTGTTTTTTAAAAGTCATACATCGAAATTTAAAGCTATATCTTATCTGTGAGGGGGAGAGGAAGAGGGAACATTAATTTTACACTAAAAAAAACCCCGTGTTATACCGGGCTAGAGAGAGGGGGAAAAAACCTGTATTAAATCGAAAATATGTGGAACAAATTTCGGAAAAGGGAAATTTAATGAAATAATTTTAAAAATCACTCACACATTGCGCGCGTACAAACTCACATACATAATTGCTGGAGTCATGAAGGAAAGAGAAAGCCCGTGTAAAGCCGGGCCATGCAGCTAGTAGGTTTTATAATACTTGTGACGGGTTTTCCACGGTAAAATTAATCTTTAACTGAGATTTCAGTTAAAAGCTTCTCTCATTGAAGAAAACGGGTTTTATGCAAATTAGAACTTCTATTTAAGTGTTTGCATTAGAGTAGGGGAGGATGGTTGAAAGTGGATATTGAAGTGTGAATAAGATAACGGCTGGAGGTCGTATAGTTAGTCAAGTTATTTAAAGATAATCCAAAAAAAGGAGTCAACAGCGTTCCAATAATAAGATAAATGTGTTTATTTCGATAATAATAACTAGATTGATCCAACGTGATTGCTTCCCAGGTTTAATGTTTGGGTGCATTCTCTCCCTTAAACTGTATAGTGTGATTAAGTGAAAGTGGTAATAAAATTATGTTTGAATTACTACGGCTGATCTACGACTCGAACCCCCAAACATTACCAACCACAGGGACGTTGCATATTGTAATTATTATACCAAAAATGGAATGAAAACAAATTGGGGAAAAGATGTTTATGCTTATAAAAACCAGGCAAATCAATAATTACATGGCATATTTAAACAGTACAGAACCTTCAGTGAATGAATAACAAAATGCAATTAAATGTATTAAGATTCAAAGGCAAAGTGCACGTAGTAAGAATTTTTTGATGATTTACCAATGTACGAAATGCATGTTCCTATAACTGTATGTGTATATAAAAAATAAATATGTTGTACAAGAATTGTTCAAAGCATGTCTTTATTGCATAGTTATAACTTATATCTCCAATTAACTGGAAAGTTGCAAATTAAACAAAATTAAAAAATAATAATAGCCTTTGTTTTGCTCCAAATCTCATAAAAACATACACCAATGAAAAATACTATATTTTAAACTAATATCTTATTGCTTTTATAGTTCTTATGTATTATTGTTCTGTTTATTGCTTTTGATTTTTAGAGGTTATTTAGCTAAAACTGTTCCTATATATTGATAGAAATAACTTTGATTTCAAAGTTTTAATTTTATAAGAGTCTGCAAACAGTGATCGATAATATGGTTAACGGTTATATGGAGGAAATTTTTTTTTATCAATCAGAACCTAACAATTCCTCGCGCAGAAAAGGGATGTTCTGTGGCATGGGGCTAAGGCAAAAACAGATTAAAAAAAATAATTTTATTAAAATTTAATACTGTTACAAACGATGTAAAGAAACTTTTTGCATTTAACCGAGTAGTACGAAAAATTGCTATGAAAATTGAATAGTAAAACACACAGTTTTTAATTTATGCTTACAAGAAAGAAAGAAATGTGTTTTCATCAAATATAATTCGAAGTTTTATTTTGAATAACATCTTCATGTGTTTGTATAGTCAGTAGCTGTAATAAATCAGGCAAAATAACAATTAAGG